ATATATATATATATATATATATATATAAGGAAGGGGACACCTTCCCCAGGTGTCTCCCCTTGTCTCCTTTATGCTGCTGCTTTCTTTTCTCTTTTTTATTGCCATTAAGGAGACAAAAAGAGTATTTATTTTTTTATTAATAAATAAAAAATAAAATAAACAAAAGAAAGAAAAAATGCATGCACAGCAGTAAGAAGACACCGATGGTCTCCTTGTCTCCTTAACCATTGGCCTGCTGCTGCTGCTGCTGCAGCAGCAGCAGCAGCAGCAGCACAGAGGTCTTCTTTTGTATTTTATTTTTATTTATTTAAATTATTTTTATTATTTATAAATAAAAATAAATAAAAGAAAAAAAGAAGACAAAGGGACACAAAAGGAGACACTTTGCCTGCGCGGCCCCAGAAGGACGCGACTGCACGCAGCAGCAGCAGCAGCAGCAGCAGCAACAGCAGCAGCAGCTTCAGCAGCAGCAGCGAGTACTCTGAGTTTATTTGGAGTAATTTTAATGTCTTTTGATTATTTTTTTTAATAAAAAAGGAGACAAACAGCAGCAGCAGCAGCAGCAGCAGGAGAAGGGGAGACAGGGTGTCTCCTTCCTTAGACTGTCCCTTTTTTGTCTCCTTTTGTCTCCTTTATAGATCTGCCTAATAAGAGGCCCTATAAAGTGTCTCTAATGAAGCTAATAAAAGGGGACAGTCTTCCCCCGTTTCAGCAATAAAATGTCTCCTTTTAAGAGGGGCCCCCAGGGGCCCTCAGGGGGCCCCAAGGTCCCTCTGGGTCCCCTAAGTGTATCGGGGGGGCCCCAGGGGCCCTTAGGTATTTGTTTAGGTGGTCGTAGCAGCAGAATCAGCAAGAGGTATTGTGTGCTGAGGTATTTGCTGCTCTTGCTGCTGCTGCTGCTGCTTCTACTGGTGTCTCCTCTGGTGCTGCAGGGGGCCTCCTCTCGCCCTCCAAGGAGGTCAAGAATTCCTTCTAGGCGAGGCAGTAGCCATGACAGCACCAGCAGCAGCGGCAGCACCAGCAGCAACAGCAGCAGCAGCACCACCACCCCTACCGCTGCCCCCAGGCAGGAATGGGTACTGGGTATACTGCAGCGAAGGGCAACCAACCAGATGATGGGGCCCCCCCGTCTTTACAATCCTGGTAGTGATGAGCAGCAGCAGCAGCAGCGGCTGCAGCAGCAGCAATCGGATCCGCAGCTGCGCCACAGGGAGCTGCAGAGACACCAGAGGCAATTAGAGCAGCAGCAGCAGCAGCAGGATCTATATGAGCGGCAGATGCGTAGGCAGGAAAGGGACCGGCGGCGTCTGCCGCAGCGCCTGCAGCAGCAGCAGCAGCAGCAAGGGGAGCAGCAGCAGTTTCTTTCCCCAAGAAGGCTTTGGCACCCGCAGCAGGAGCACCAACAGCAGCAGCTGTCTCCTACCTCCAATGTACCAAGACAATTGCAAAGAAGACAGTATCGGCAGCAGCAGCAGCCGCAGCAGCAGCAGCAGCAGCAAGATGGTTATAATTACCAGCAGCAACAGCAGCAGCAGCAGCAGCAGCAGCAGCAAGGTTCTCCCTTGTTTCAGCTCTCCCCCAGCAATCAACCGTATCATTCCCCGCACTCCCCTCACTCCCCCCACCTCTACCTTCCCCACCAGCAGCAGCAACAGCAACAGCAACAGCAGCAGCAGCAGCAGCAGCAGCAGCAGCAGCAGCAGCAGCAGGAGCAATTAATTCACACACGTACACGTAGGGAATTAAATCGTTATCTATTAAAGACATCAATAAAAGGGATAAAAGTACGAACTTTTTCTTCGCGTTTTTCTCGTCTTTTGCGTATCCCTTTTCTTGTTACTGAGCATTATAGGGCATATTTACCTCCATTTATTCATCATAAAGGTATTATTACTCCTTCTTCTCTTCCTCCTACTACTCCCTCCTCTTCTCCTGCTGTTTCTCCTTCTTCTCCTGCTTCTGGCGGTGGTAGTGGTGGTACTGCAGCAGCAGCAGCAGCAGCAGCAGCACCAGCAGCAGCAGCAGCACCAGCAAAACCAGCAAGATATAGGATGCGTTCCCTTAGGGAAACTGGAGACATTCCTCATCTATGGCGAGCAGATAAATATGACTATTATAAGTCAGGTACTGTCTCCTGCTGCTGCTGCTGCTGCTGCTGCTGCTGCTGTTGCTGCTGCTGCCGTTGATGTTGTTGTTGTTGTTGCTGGTGCTGTTGCTGCTTGCTGTTGCTCCTGTTGCTCCTGTTGTTGCTGCTTGCTGTTGCTGCTAGTTGCACCTGCGCTGGTTATGTGTAACCCCATCAGTTGCTGCAGGTAACACCTCCTTCGTCTGTTGCTGCTGCTGCTGCTGCTGCTGCTGCTGCTGCAGGTTTTGCTCTTGCTAAACTAGCTACTTCTACGGAGGCAGCAGAGACATTTCTTATGTCTGCTAATGCTGTCCCTCAACACCCTGATTTATTGCCACAACAATGGTGGGGCCTTTCTTGCTGCTGCATGCATTGCATGCATGCAATGCTCAGTCTTTCTGTTGCTGCTCCTTCTCCTTCTCCTGTTCCTCATCCTCCATCTACAACTACTGTTGCTGTTGCTGTTGCTGCTGCTGCTGCTGCTGCTGCTGCTGCTGCTGCTGCTGCTAAATATTTATTAGGAAGGAATTAGAGAATGTAATAGAGTCATTAAAAGTATGCTAATAAAGATATATTTATATATTTTTTTTGTTAGTACTGCTGGTGTTGTTGCTGCTGCTGTTGCTGTTGCTGCTGTTGCTGTTGCTGCTGCTGCTGCTGCTGCTGCTGCTGTTGCTGCTATAGGAAGGAATTAGATAACGTAATAGAGTCCCTAAAAGTATGCTATAAAGATATATTTGTATACACTGGCCCCCTTTATTTACCTAATAATATGAGTACTGTATTACCTGCTGTCTCTGTAAGAAGAAGAAGAGAGAGAAAAAGAACACCTTATTCTTGTTTAAGGTATTATATATATATATATATATATA